CCAACCGAACCCAAAGCTGAAACTAGCTTCTTCTTACCTCTACGCCATGTCATGGTCTGACCGCCGCGGCGCTTCTTCCAGCCTTGCCCAGTACGTGCAAAGAGAGCACGAAAAAGTGGATGATGTGCAGGCATACATAAAACGTGACCAAGCCATCGTAGGCGGTGTAGAGCGATTACTTTTGTAAGAGGGCGACTATCCACACTCAACACATGATGGATCTCGTCATTNACGCCATGTCATGGTCTGACCGCCGCAGCACTTTTTCCAGCCTTGCCCGGCACGTGCAAAGAGAGCACTGAGGGTTGGTCGATGGGCAGGCATACGCAAAACGTGACCAAGCCATCGGAAGCGGTGTAAAGCGATTACTTCTTCTACAGAACAATCATCCGCAGCCAACACACGACGACAGACCTCGTCATTGCTCACCCGATGTTCCCACCAGACATGAGCAATGCTTCGGAGATATCGGTGGTCGAATACAGAAAGTCGATTAGTATTCTCAACGCGGAGAGGCCAGGCCTCACATCCATAAAGCAGAACGCCCTGAGCTGCGGCGATGTACACCCTTGTGATCATAATACTTCTGTATAGACAATAGAGGTAGAAATGGGGTTCTGTTCGGTCTGCAATTGACTATCTCAAACTTTTGAGGTTTGCATATCGTTCTGTAGTGTAGAAGCGAAACATGGTGCATTTCAATTTCATTTTATCGCAGGCAGAATGCCTCTGCTGCTATCTCCGATTAGCGGCCTTCGGCCTTCTTGTTGATTTAGTGTCAGGCCAAGGACACGAAAGGTAGACACAGTGAAGCGCCCAGTAAACTCATTTTGCAATTGGAACGTTAGTGACTGAATACGAATTGTAAATGTGGGATAGTGAGGAGGGTTTGTGGCACTGGTGATCGAGATCAGTGTTCAGACTCCGCCACTATGTATATAGATCCGGTCGCAAACAGCTTGAGCAGCGTGTGTTTGGAGCCGTTCATTACAGACGTGTCGAGAACTGGGTATACAGATGCGTGGGAAATCCGTCTTTCATATCAATGTGAAGAGTTGGGAATGATAGTGCAAAGGGAATCTCGAGGTTTCTGGTAAGAAGTAGCCCATTGGTCATGCCGCTTGTCTGAGACACCGAAATTGATAAGATTGAATAAAAGGGGTAGTTTAATGAATAAAGCCGAACTGTCAAACCCAGAGAGAATCGTGTGGGACAAAACGGTCTTCTTCTTTGTGCCTCCGTCAATGATGAGTGTGTGCACCGTCTAGGAAAGTATTCATTTACATCCGAAAATAAACCACACAATTAACTGATTATATGTTCCCATGCTGTCATCCGGTAAAAAAGTGTGAACTAGAATTAAATGGATCGCCGTCGTTGTCAAATAGAACATGTTGTGCATTGAGTAAGGAGAATCCTTATTGAGTAGTCGAGTTGCAAGGAAGTAATAACCTGACTTCGATGTGCATTGAATTGTTCTATTTTGATTTGCTAGGTCTCCTTTGTTTTGCGTTTCTTGTTCGTTTGACTGACTTCCACATTACATGCTTACGCCCACACAGCCCTCACCCTCCATAATATTTCTCTATACATTGTAAGAATCAGATTTAACTCACTGACACCAACAACCTATCCCATATATATTCACAGATTGCAACCGTAAATGAGCGGTTGGAATTCTTGCATTCTTGGGCTACCTTTCCTCAAGATCGGTAAAGAGATCGAGTTCATCCCTTACCCTGAAACATTTGTCTGTCTTAATACGATTGTACTGTTTCCGGGATGAAATGATCGAAAACATTCTTTCCCGTTTATTTCACACTTTTACTATACTTAGATCCCGTAATTAATTTGAACAGACAAGTCAGAAGAAAAAATAACTGTGAGAGGAATTCCTTTCGTGTACTCTCACTGGTTGCGTACGTATAACGTTAAACAAGATAAACAAATGAGGTGAATTGAGAAATCCAGTTAGATTTTGTGGTGTTTCTGTAGGTGCCTGTGTATGTAGTTGCACACGGTTGGTTACAATCAGGGAAGACCAAGGGTAAATGACATACGCTTTTGGACACACAGGGATAAAGTCTCAAGTAACCTTAGTTGGTGTTAGTTCGGATGACGTAACAAAATCGAGAACGCGTTCGTGGGTTCTACCTTGTGATCACTTTCAACCAAGTAGCGTGCAATGACCGAAGTCGGTCTACGTGAGTTAGTTCGAATAAATCGTGGACTTCATTTGTTCATCTTGTTCAATGTTATACGTAGGCGACCGATGTTGTTTGTTTTCTGATATGCCTGTTTAAGCTTTGACTACAATTAGTACTAGAACAACCTCACACAATTTCACACGAGTTGAACTTACTGATAGTTCGGCCAGAAAGTTGCGTGATAGACCATACTGACCTTCGACTAGAGCCAACTTCGCCTTGGCAAATAACAAACGTCTTTGATGTAATTGACCTGTGCCAAATCGTTCAGCTAATTCCAAGTACTGTCTTGCAGAGGTCCCTTGACTTAGTTGAATCAAACGTTCGGCTATTTCCAGCCAACTTGTGGTCAGGCGACTGCACACCTTTCGACCCGACTGACTAGCTTCATCGATCAGGGCTCTGATAAATGCGAAAAGACAAATATTTGAAGGGATATTATTTGATCAAAGTTCCGTAATTAAATAACGTACAGTGCAAGTTACACTGTGTGACAGATTTAAATTTTTCTCACAAGATGCAAACGGGAAAAGAATCATTATAGACGACGGGATTCGAACCCATATCTCTCTACAGCTGAGCTACGAGACCACACCTAACACTTTGATGGCTTTACATTTGACAGTCCATTCCACTTAAAGAGGCATATAGAATCCATCCAATGTAATGTAATTTGATTACCGTGGAAGCAATGATTCCATGAATTTAAGCATGAGTTCCATAGCTAGATACAAATTTTTGACCGGTTATCTGTGATGGAACGAGAAAGTAAACCAAAACATTTGCAAAACGGAAAGGAGCTAGAATCAAACGGACGACTTTTAACTAATAGTGTTTACGCTAAACATTGAAGATTTATTGGATAAACTAACTCTTCTACGTCAACAACTAAACTAATGCTACAATGGGAACAGCCATCAGAGTTGATTGTGCAAAAATTGATCTTTCATTCTTACTTTACGTCTCAGGTTGTCCAACCACAAAAATTATGAGCAAAGGGTTCTACCTTGTGCTTTGTGGGTACGGGGAAGACAAGTTAAGCCCACGGGACACTTTTACTCGTGGCAAGATACGAGGGAGTCATAGATATGGCTTACAACCCGGGGAAATGTAGTTTCAACTTCGAAATAGCTAAAATCCATCGATTACCGGAAAAATACCAACAAAAATCTAAGGTGGGGTCTTTGGCTTGTTTCAAATGTTTAAACAGCCCGGCGGAGCTCATAATGAGAACACAAATTGGCAAAGAAGCTCGTTTTCGGTGAGTCTTAATCGTGTAATTACAACGTTGTAATGGCATGATTAAGACACACTGAGAAATCTAAGAGTTTATGGCTCCTTTGCAACCATTGCTACCGTGAATTTGGCGCCCCAGAGCCTGCCACTCTGAACTAACTTCTACTTTGATTTGTTCGAGACTATTAGTCGTTAAGTAGCTCTTATTAAGTGACTTTAAAAAGCTGTCAACCCTTGGCAATTTAAACCTCTTTTGTCCAAGAACCATGAGATTTCAAAACATGCTTCTTCACTCTATTTTCCCTTTTTATTATAACCTTTTATATTCTAGCGGAGAATAAACGGGTGGTGGGGTTTGTAGTATCCAAAGAAAAACGCCAGGAGTACCACGAACAGACATTAAAGTGTGCCACTTACTTCGCTATCTCGTCTTCGTTCGGTCCCAAGTTGCCAAGAAAACCCTGATGATGAGCGATCCCGTTTTCCAAATTCAAATAACAGCACAACTCCATGAGTCTGAGTTAAAGAGGAAAACAGTGATTGAAATTGTAACAGATATGATTCACATATGCTTTTGATAGAGTATTTGTGATGATTTTTGTTGTTTGTAGTTGGGGTGACACATCAGTCCTCCCCCCTTGCACACGTGCATCACATGTTAGTACTTCTGTTTGACCATGACTTCTTTCGATCAACTTTGTACACATTACACAACGCTAAAAGATGCGATCAACCTAACCCAATCACACCGTAGCGCTTTCAACCTTTTCGACCCTTAATTCTTTTGATTTGAATAAATTCAATTCTGCTGACTAGTAGAATTGTAATCCCTCGCTACTTTATTACAGGAAGTACATTTATATGAAGAGTTTCCATTTGAGCCTAAATTAGATAGGAAATAGTGTGAAGTGAGTGAACTACACATACTAACACCTATTCCTGGATTAAAAGATTGTCAATTTATTGGTATCATTAAAAAAAATCAACGAAAAAGATTTCATTGATTTTAGTACCATTACTACTTGCTCACATATTTATGCCGTATATTGTCTTGGAGACGTAATGTAAGCAATAGCGAAGTACAGTAATGAGTATTGCATACGGACCACTTTCCTCTAACCGAAATAATTTAAGTGGTCTGCCTTCGATGGATCAAGAAAGTATTGCACATGTCTGGTCAGGGAATTTCTTATATAGCGTTATTTGTGATCCATGTTCAAGGGAGTGGAGAAGTACCGTCAATCTGCCGAACTAAGATACGAATATAGTTGACCGAGAACTAAGAGATGTTGCCCAGAATCGAAACTGGTGGTGTGAGTATTGGAAACATTTAATTTTCATTTGAATGACTGCGTGCCGAATCTACACCGAAACACATCAAAGTCAAAAATACGGAAACTTTTATATAATATAAAACATAAAAAGACCTTATATGTTCGTTGTCCTTCTTTACACTTGATCAACTTCCATTGTGCACACAGGTGACAGTGGTTATGATTCCGAAAGAAGATGAAACTTCTCAGTATTTATTGACACCATCACTTCTAGTTCGCATAACTATTAGCCTTGCATTTTGTGCACTGATTTTCTGATTGCATTAAGATACAAGTGTATCAAAGTGTTTTTGATTAAATTATGTTCCACTGGATAAATAAATGAAGAACATTTATTCCAATCGAGTATATGATACTAACAGAAATATGTATATATATATATATATATATATATATATATATATATATA